TGACCGCTCCTGATTCTGTGCTGCTGCTGGCAGGGCTCTGACTTCAGAGCGGAGAGCCTGCTGGAAAACAGATGCTGCTCTCTGGCTGACCAGCTCTAAAGGCAGCACAGAAGTAAGGGTGGTTATATTACAGCTATCCTGAAATAACCTTATGACCCACCCACCCCACAACTCCTTTTTGGGTCAGAACCCCAATTAGAGAAACACTGGTCTGCCCTGTAAAATCTATTTAGTAGAAGGTAAAAGCATACAAAAAAACCCACCTAATTTCACAGTCTATAATAATGTTTTTCATGGTCATGAATTTGGTAGGGAGCTATTGATATTTCCCCAGACACTGGGCTAATCTCCTGCAATCTAGGAGACCCAAATTCAAATCTCTTTTCCACAAGGCAGAAAACTGACATCACAGTCTCCCACATCACAGTTGAGTGCCCTATCTACTAAACTACAAGTTGTAAGATGGACAGTGGCACCTCCTCCACGTGCCATTTTTTGTGAATGGTGCCTCATCCATCCCCTCCCCTCCAAAAAAAGATGCAACTCAAGTAAAATTCATGTCAATACCACAAATGCTTTGTGTCCTGAAAACTTAATTTTTTGGTAAATTTACAATTTGCCAATAAATATTAACCCAGCTCTACCTCAAGATTCCATTCATGTCAGACTAATACTAACCAACAACAATGAAAAAAGGTGACTCCCAAAAGGTTCCTATTTCCTAGTCTATCAAAAGGATTAAGTGCCCCAATTTTACCATTTCTGGAGTTCTCTCAGAGGGAAGATACAGTGGCATTTCCAGAAACCGCTGAATACCACAGCCTACAAAGACTTTTGAATCTTCTGATATTTATAACAGTTGTGTTTGTAGTCCATACACAAAAAAGGGAGAGATTCACAGGCTGCATCTCTTGAAACCCAACATAACACTAGCATAGGGGGTGGGCAATAATTTTTGATGGGGAGCACTCTAAGAATTTGGTAAGTGGCCAAGGGCTACCCTTCTCCATGATAATAATGGTGACAGTGCAAAGACTGGGATGGGGGTTGGGATATAGGAGAAGGTTGTGACCTGGGACAGGGGTCTCGGGTGCAAGAGGGGGTGCAGGATCTGGGAGGGGGTTGTGACATGAGACAGGAATGCAGGAGGAGATGCAGGGGTTTGGGTTGTGACCATGGGCAGGGGATTGGGGTGCAGGATCTGGGAGGGGTGTGTGACCTGAAGGAGGAATGTAGGAGGAGGATGCGGGGTCTGGAAAGGGTATGAGTACAGGAATGGAAGTGCTGAGGGTTGGGTTATGTGGGGTATGGGTGCAGGTGGAACCACGTGTGTTGCTCTGAACGCTGTGAGACTTGTTTCCAGCTAATGGTAGCTGTTAGATTGTACTGAGGGTGGGGCCATGTGAGAAGCCTCTCTCCCATCCCCCTAGACTCAGCATTCACAGAAGCACATGGCCCCGCATCCAGCTTTTCTGAGTGCCATGCAGTAGTGGGGAAGGCAGGGGCCTGGCTGAGTCTCCAGCTGGGCCATGAGCTGGATCTGGTGGCTTAGCGGGCCGGATCCGCCCACAGGCCACATTTTGCCTAGCCCTGAACTGGAGTCACCCATATAACCAGCACGAAGTAGAAACAGCAAATCTAAAATGTGCAACAGCTATACTATATTGCTAACTACTAAAAAAGTTGTCCAAAATACCAACGTTTTTAGCTATTTCCAATTGGTTTCTGAGAAAAGTAGATCCAGGTAGACAGAGCAAGGTTGTTCATTTCTTAAGGAGACCAACCCATTGCTACATAGTCAGGCAGACAGGAACTTTGCTAGAAAATTCCAAGATTCTCACAAGACGCCAGGAACACAATAACCCAACAACAGAAATGCACACATCTCACCTGAATAACCTTATTTCATCTTTTATAGTACGTTAAGCATACATATTTAACAAACTTTTTAATTATTACCTTTCAATGACAACAGAGTTCTTTCTAATGAATTTGTAGCAGCAGCAGCTTCATCTCCCATAAAGATCTGTTGTAGGAATGTATCTGTGTGATGATTCCATAAGGAACAGGCAAAACTATAAATTCCAGATGCTAACTGTAAATAAAAAGCAGTACATATGAACTGCAATATTTAACACCAGTACAATAAATGTATAGATTCAGATCTTTAAGGCCAGAATGAAATGTTAAATCTAGCCTGATCTCCATAACACAGACAATAATCACCCCACATAATAGCTTGTTTGATTAAAAAAAAAAAGCTTCCACAAAAATCCAGTTTTCATTTGAAAACAGATAAAGAAATAGAGAATCCCCCACTTCCCTTGATAAGCTGTAGTGATGATGCACATTCAGTCTAGACAGCAGTAGGAGTTGTCAGACATTTTATTTAAAAAACAACTTGGCTGTAACCTGGTTAAGGGAAGTGGGGAAAAGTTCTGCCATTCCTGACCAAGAGGGGGCACACACTGAGACAGCAAAACAGTAAGTAGCCTCCTGTCCCAAACCTTCCCACTTCCAGACATTGACTGAAGTGCCAGACAGGGTGGAGAGAACTTGCCCCAGGAATGCTGAGGGACAGTGGCCTGGTGGTGGGGGGAGAAGAGGGAGAGAACACGGCTCTGGCCCCCAGCCTCCTGAATGCCGCCCCACCCGCATCCTAAAGGCCCTGACCTGAAGGACCCATGAAATGCTGGGTAAGTCTGTCATATATAAGTGTAGGCCTGAAAAAAATTTTAAGTGATAATTATTCTAAGTAGTAATATTTGTAGTCATTTTGTTAATATATACGATGTACTGTGAATTAGCAAGAAGAAATAGTTTTTGGTTCTCGTTTTATTTTTAGAAGTAGTAAGAAGAAATTGTTTTTACTAAGGATAGGATGGCTTAGCTCTGCTTTGCCCTGTAAGAAAGCTTATTTTTGAAATTATGTATTGTTCTTTGTGTGAGTGGAGGAATGTATAGTATGCTAATAGGTAAGAGACTGGAGGCAGCCTTGACTACTTTGTGATTAATGACTCCGGTGTGACACAGCAGAGCTCACAGACATGCAGGGGAACTTTCTGCTATAAAAGAAGAGTGTATTGTCATGCATTCAACAGAGGCCCAAGCTCTCCTTCCCTCAAGTGCAGTTTTAACTGGTCACTGAAACTAATCAAGCAATACTAAGACTAGTAATTATCAGCTCCAGCTACAGAACCTTTGGGGGAGGAAGTAAGCATATTTTGATTTCAATTCATAAATTGTAGTCATAATAAACATTACGTATTGCCTTATCCCCTTGTGCTTCTTATAAGCATAACATAGGAAATAACCACTTATGACACCCTATCGACATGTACACTTCCCATGTACCCACTTCAACAGTCAATCACGAACGTTTATAAACAGCTATGTAAAATAGCATTTCTACTCTTCTCCTAAGCCCAAAACACTACATGCTGCATTATTAAAACTGCTACTTACGTCATAAAAAAGTTTCCTATCTGCAGCCAGTCGTTTAGATGCCAGCGTCTTTGTAACATGATAAAAAGTAAGTAATGCTCTGTGTTGCCGGAGGTCATCTTGGACTTTCACTGATTCTAGAAGAGTAGGAATAAGCTCTGGCCACTGTCTAGGGCAATCCAACCTAGCAACTTTAGCAATCAATACAGAGATCTGAGTGGCTATCTGCAGGGGAAAAAAAAGTTACAAAGCAGACATATATAAGGCATGGGTAAATTTAATGTTCACATTCCAAAAATATAACTTCTGTTATATTTAAGACACCTGTTAGTAAAATTTTAAGCTAGCTAGTTAGCTGAGACCTCAACCAACATTTTAATGTATTACTGGGTTTTACAGGGCCTCTAGAGACTCATTGTGCACATTTTAGCAGCCTTATTCTACGTAGTTAGGATTCAGTAATTTAGAGACCACTCTTGGCCTAGTGAAAAGTTTTTAATCTGACCTCATTTCTCTTCCTGTTTAATTGTATTTTGTTTTTTCTATACACACACACACACACACACACACACACACACACACACACACACAGAAGATAAACATATATACAGAAATCTAGATAGTATTAACAATACTCATGGCCGTCATCAGCATAGGATAGAACGTGACTGGGCAAAATATGGTCCATGGCTGGATCCAGCCCACGGGAGCCACAGGCTGCTCCCTGCCTGCCCCGCCCCACCCCTTCTCAGCACTCAGTAAAGGTAGTTGCAGAGAGCCAAGTGTGCCTCTGAATGCCAAGAGCCCAGGGGGGAGATGACAGAGGCATCTCACACTGCTGCAACTCCCCAGCCAATAGCAGCTGCCTATTTTCAGGACAGGCAGCATATGCAGTATTCCTCCCTCCTCAGCCCCTGGGCTCACAGCATTCTGTTCAGAACATCAAACATAGCCCCTGAACCCTGCACCACACAGGGGTGTGGAGGCAGAGACCGTACCTAAGTAATCTGGTGTGCTGATGACCGAGTCACGCAAGTGTCTCCCAGCCAAAGCCTGCCTCTGGCACCCCAGCCCTTCCCTCCCTTCCCCAGCCTTCTGCACCTCATCTCCATGTAACTCAAAACTTCTGCACCCCATGCCCATGTCCCCTGCTCCAGTCCCCATAAACCCTCCCAGACCCTGTACCTCCTCCTGCACTCCAGCCCCAGCCTACAGCCTCCTCCCAGACACTTCACTGCCTACGCATACACCCCTCTCCCAGACCAGAATCCTCTCCTGCCCCCATACACCCTCCCAGACTCTGCACCCCAATCCTCTGTCCCAGGTTACAACCCAAACCCCTGTACCCTTACCCAAGGTTACAATCCCCTCCCAAACCCTGCACTCCCAAGACACTTACTCCAGGTCACAGTCACCTCCTTCACCCAAACTCTCTCTCAGAACCCACACCTCAGTCCCTTACCCTAAGATCACTTCTGCACCCAACCTCCATCCCCGTCTCAGCACCTCCTCCAATAATATAATGGAACAGTCAGGTCCTTAACCACTTACCAAATTCTTGGAATTGCCCCCAATCAAATATTATTGCCCAGCCCGGTATAGAAGCACCAATTCCTAGTTCTAAATAGGGCCTTTTTAATCTTCATTTGTATAGTTGATCAAGGACTTAGCTTGCTAGTCTTCTTCAAGTAGCTGTAACTTGTCCTAGTGCCCCCTCAGATTTTCCATGGACAACTTTTTTTGGGGAGGGGAGGCAGAGGGAGAGGGATTATGGGTTGGATTTATGAGCAGAACTCATCACCCTTTTATAGGAGCAGCCAGTCTGTACAAATTTAAAACAAAAGAAGTTGGAGTATGTCTGTGTAAGTCAATAGAACTACTTGTGGTTAAACACATCTATATGTGCTTTGCTAAATCAGAACTTGAGCTTGCAGTAGGAAGAGTCAGACAAGTTCAAACACCAGTGTTGCTCCTTCACTCCATCCAAACAGACTTCTTCCAGTCAGGAAGTTCCCAACCAGCCTAAGAGAACTAAAAGCAAGATATAGTTACAGAGGGAGTATTCAAGGGCAAAACCTGTTTCATTGCTTCTTTAATTTTTCCAACTAAGTTTTGGTCTCTCCAATTTCCCTTGAAATGCTCCTTTCTGGCAGGTTTTTATTATGTCTTTGGCATTAGAAGGAGGTAGTTTCTGGGTCAAATTCAGATCCTGTTTTCTCTTCCTTCCCAAAAGCAGCATAAAGGGTGAAAAGGAACCGGAAGGCTGTCAGCAAATTAGGTAGATCTGTAGGGTAGCCTATAAAGAGTATTTGTAAGGGTTGGTTTTCTAAGTATCAGAATCAGCTTGCTAGTATCCACAGAAACACATTGTTTCTTTGTTCTCTCCATATGGCTGATATATTCCTGGTGTGCAGGGTTGAGACCCTCAACATATCTTGTAGTTTTCCAAAGTCAGAAGCTCTACAACTCAGATAGTAACAGTCTACCTACTTAATTTGCATGCACACACACCTTTTTGTATTATTTAAATCTGTCTGAGTTTTCATTTCACAACCTTAAGAACCACATAAGCATGACTGTGTAAAGTTCATGTTACAGCCCTGCTGTCAGAAAACAATGAACACTGTTCACCAAGAAACTAATCCACCAAAACAAGCTATACTGTTATCCACAATAAATATACCAGACAGACAGTAAGGTAGATTACAGGCACTTTGGTATTATTAGTGAAAAATGCTTGTGAATTAAGATACAAAAGAAACTTCATCTCTTACTATGAAAGACAAAAAGGTTTTAGTCCTTTTTAAAGGCACCTTTCTCCAAGCTCTGGCTATTTCACAAATTGATCAAAAATGGAAAAAGAGTTCAAATAGTTTAGTGAATAAAGTTTACACACATAGAATACATGATGTGATATAAAGTCTTACCCCAACCCCTGAGAAAGACAGAAATCAAAGTTCTGATGAAGATAATTCATACATTTTTCAATATAGGTCTTTTCAACAAGAAGCTTGTCATAAAGACAGGTACTGTGGTTCTTTCCCAATAAATCAACCCTCCTTATTGACCAGAGGCAACCTAGACAACCAAAGAATTAGAAGCAGAATGAGAAATTCTGCCCCTCTCAATAGAAACAAAATGATGTTTTTCGGTTTTCTTAGGGACATGGGTGCAAATGGCTGGGATATGCCAAATTGTTCTTGCTGGTTCTAAAATGGTTTCATTAACCAAATTCCCCCCCTCCCCCACACATACACAGACACACACTTTGGCTGGATCTGGAAGACTGTAGGATCTGTAGCTCCTCTGAAGCTCTAAGTAACAGTCCCTGGAACTGTCTGTAGTCATGCAGGGGAAGGGGAAGGGGAAGGGGAAGAGATGAGGGAGGATGATATTGGAGTGACTGTTTCATCCAGAGATCCTGAGAATAGATCCAACTCATAATCATCCTTTCCCTTGGAGTCAGAAGGAATCTCTTGCTGTCTTCTCATAGTGGAAGAGTGGACTCCCTAACAGATTATGTCAACTCTGCAAAGTGGTACAAGTCCCACAGTCTCCAGGACAGGCACTAATTGGGGTCAAAGAGTGGTTGGGGAGATCCCTGTGGCATGGGGGTGGGCTGGTCCATGTCCAGACTGGTCCATGTCCCCTATCTGAAAAGGCATGCCTCAGTGGAAGAGGCAACAGTTCGTTGGGTGACTCCATGTCTCCTAAGAAAACAAGTATTCTGGATCTATCAGCAGGTCTCTCCATTGGAGGGAAACCATGGCTCGATGATGAGGTGAAAGAGACACCTCTCACAAACTGCATCTCTTGGTAGAATCTGAACCCTCTTCTGAGATAATGGCTTGTCTGTGTTAGAGAATAGGATCAGGAAAAGCCAAAATCTTGTTACGTGTAGAGTAAAACTTAGTTCTCTTCGGAGCACAAAAGGTCATGACTTATCCAAAATGACAGAGCCAGAGCAATTACAGTTTATGCCAAGAACATATGAATGGCCACACTGGGTCAGACCAAAGGTCCATCTAGCCTAGTATCCTGTCTTCTGACAGTGGCCAATACAGGTGCCCCCAGAGGGAATGAACAGAATAGGTAATCATCAAGTGATCCCACCCCTGTTGCCCATTCCCAGCCTCTAACAAACAGAAACTAGGGACACCATTCCTACCCATCCTGCCTAATAGCCATCTATGGACCTATCCTCCATGAATTTATCTAGCTCCTTTTTTAACCCTATTTAAGTCCTGGCCTTCACAACATCACAGTAGGGTAAAGCAGAGCACTGCCACAGCTGGGTAAAGCAGAGCCAGTGCTACTCTTCATTGAGGCTCCCCTGTTTGGCTACTGTCAGCGCCACTGTTCTCTGCATTGTAGGCTTAAGTTGGTACTAGAGGCACCACCTTCACTGGAACATGGTGTAATAGTGATGGAGACTGTTGTATATTGGGTTGTAGATATAGATCTTGTTGTTATGGTAACTGAGTAGGTCACTGGGGTCAGCCCAGCTAGTCTGGGCTTGTTCTGGTGAGTTCTGTGCTATGCAATAAAATGGACACTTGCACCTACTCCAGCTCTCTGCCTTTCCACTGATTTCTTCCTATGCTCTGAAACTCCCCACGACATAACAGAGACCTGAATTTGGGGGGTCCCTTGTCATGCAACCTAGTTGGGGCTACTATAAGATGGGTACGTAACTAGCTAGACAATAATGTTGCATAAAAAAGCCTCTGCCTGAGTTCACTAGATTTACATACATGGATTTTCTAAAGCTACACCATACTGTAAGGTCTAAGGTTTTAAAATGCAACTTATTGTGAACCTTGTCAATCTTTGTAATCTGTGTAACTCTCAAATTTACTGTAAACTGCAACTTTGTAATCTTTGTAACATGTAGCCACCTTGCTTGTAACTTTCCCTAAGCTGCATTCTTCCCTGAGTGAATGGAGAGAGAGTGTGAGTGTGTTTGAAGAAGGCTTGGAACAATGGACCACATGACAATGAGTCATCACAGTAATTGTCTTAATCATACGAGCAAGACCATATTTGCAGTTTATGCTTCTGGTAGACAATACAGAAAATGCAGTTGCATTAATACAGTTATTATTGGCACATCTAAACTACATACCAAAGATACAACAGTTACATCCTGTACATCTACAATGACAGAGCACTGCCACTTTACTTATAATTGTACTATAGCTTATGTTATGATATTTACATTTAATTTGACTTTCAAATAGTCTCTTAGAGACAAATGTAGAATTAGGTATAAAAAAACCTCTTATTACCACCAAGAATGAGGTTTCATTGATATTCTAAACATGCGCTGTGATTAGTGTTGAATTTTGGTAACTTTACATCATGTACTATTTTACAATCTTACAGGTTCACTTAAATATGAAAGTGGAATCTTGGTATCTTAGGGGAGAAAATTGTGTTCACCACCATGAACTATAGACCTCGTATTTTGAAGTTCAGTCTAGTAGGGCACTCACTGATTCAGTGCTGATGGATAAGTGTGTGTGTTTGTGTGTTTGTGTGTTTGTGTGTGTGAGAGAGAGAGAGACTTCTATCTTCTTTAGCTTATACCTCTTTAGTTTTACCTAGTGGAAATAAACCCATACTAGTGTAACCCTGGGTGGTCTCCAGTGAGAATATCTTTGGTGTAACAAATAACTACTCTCTGAGAACAGTTGATGGTTCACAATCATGCTGGAAGGGCATAACAAGAGGGATTCTGCAGGGGTCTGTTTTGGGACTGGCTCTGTTCAATATCTTCATTAATGATTTAGATGATGGCATAGAGAGTCCGATTATTAAGTTTGCAAATGATACAAAGTTGGGAGGAGTCTGTAGCTGCAAGTGCTTTGGAGGACAGGGCCAAAATTCAAAATGATCTGGACAAACTAGAGAAATGGTCTGAGGCAAACAGGATGAAGTTTAATAAGAACAAATGTAAAGTACTCCACTTAGGAAGGAACAATCAGTTTCACACATACAGAATGCAAAGTGATTGTCCAGTTCTGGGCACCACATTTCAAGAAAGATGTGGAATAATTGGAGAGGGTCCAGAAAAGAGCAACACAAATGATTAAAGGTCTAGAGAACAAGACCTATGAGAGAAGACTGAAAGAATCGGGCTTGTTTAGTTTAGAAAAAGAGAAGACTGAGAGGGAGACATGATATCAGTTTTCAAGTATCTAAAAGGGTGTTACAAGGAAGAGAGAGAAAAAATTTTCTCCTTGGCCTCTGAGGATAGGACAAGAAGCAATGAGCTTAAATTTCAGCAAGGGTGGTTTAGGTTGGACATTAGGAAAAACTTCCTGTCAGAGTGATTAAACACTGGAATAAATTGCCTAGAAGGATTGTGGAATATCCATCAGTGGAGATATTTAAGAGCAAGATAGACAGACAGACACCTGTCAGGGATGATCTAGACCAGGGCTACTCAACTTTGGAAGCCCCAGGGGCCACAATGATACTCGCAGCACATGCCAAGGGCCACAACTTAAGTGTGGTTGCATATGCATGCAAATATATATGCAAATATATACAAATAGCTTCTTTCACACTGACGGACATGAATACAAAACACTTCCCACAATTCCCCAGCACTCCTGGCATTTCCTCCCTGGGGGCTAGAAACACCGACACCCTGTACCTGTCTGTTCCAGCCAACCAGCCCATCCACTTGCATCTTTCAATGCTCATCCCGCCTGGGAGACGCTGAGATGCTTCGCCATTGTGGAGCGTGTTCCTAGTGGATGCCATGTTCTAAGGATCCCAGCCACGGGCCACGTGCTGAGCCCCACGAAAACCCAAACACACTGTGGGCTACAAGCAAACGAGCCACGGGCTGCATATGGCCCACGGGCTGTGTGTTGAATAGCCCTGATCTAGACAGTACTTGGTCATTCCTTGCTCTCACGGAAGGACCTCTTGAGGTCCCTTCCAGATCTTGAATTCTGTAATCCTGAGGCTTAGGATATTCTATGTCCTCATGGGATGAGTGGGAAGATTTGCTTGACTTATGCAGGGTTATACCCAACTTCTTTTAAGAGGTTTTGGAGGAGGATTTGCTTTTGTTTTTATGAGAATGCTTCTGCCCTCCCAACAAAATCCCAATGGGGGATCATTGGGAATAAATTCCTTGGCTCCTAACTCAGACCTCATGACAACATGTATACTCCTTGCTGAGTCAGGTTTATGCACTGGAAGTATTGGAACGGGGGAGAGGGGGTGTCCCCCAATCTGAATTTGATTGCTTTCTCCATTAAGCATTTCATAAGACCAAGTTTCCACCTCCATGGAAAAAGAGCAACTTATATCGCACCTTGTCACAATTCAGGATGTTAAGTAACGGGTAACTGACTAATCGAATAGTCCATGTATTTTTGCATGGACTATTCAATTAGTCAATAAAGCACCCCTGCCTTTGAGGTGTAGCAACAGCCTGTTGCTACACTTCAAAGGCAAATACACCACATGGAGCTGAAGCCGGGCTCCCTGTGGCATTTCAAAAAGGCAATGCCGCACAGAGCCTGCAGTCAAGCTGGGGAGTCCCCAGATGATCCCAGGCTCCACACAGCTCTGCTGCTTTGAAATGCTGTGAGGAGCCTAACCCCAGGCTCCTCATGGCATTTCAAAGTGTCAGCGCTGCACCGAGTCCCAAGCTGATCACCAGGCTCCCTGGCATTTCAAAGCAGCAACGCCGCATGGAATCCCGAGCTGATCCCCAGGTGAATGCATGGAGTCCCCAGCTGATCTTGGGCTCCAAATGGCACTGCTGCTTTGAAACCTCACATGCAACCTGGGGACACCCCACCTGACCCGGGCTGCATGTGGCGTTTTAAAGCAGCAGCACTGCATGAAGCCCAGGTCTGGCCCCAGGCTTCAAGCGACACTGCTGCTTTGAAGTACCCCTTCTTCTTCCCCCCACCTCACTGTCTCTATCTGATAGAGGCAACAAGGGGGAGGGAGGGAGGGAAGCATCTAGTTGACTATCCTGTTGACTATCTGATAAGCATTTGCTTATCAGATAGTTATGACAAACAATGCTGCCTGTAAAATTGCTAAGTGAGAAGAAGTGTTGGTAAGAAGCCTGGAACCCTAGGCATAGTTCAACAGGTCCATCAATACAGAGGGCAAATAGGGCAAAGAGGCGAGGCCAGGCCATCAGCTCCCCTATAGCCCAGTACCTGTAATGGGGTACTGAGGGAAGGGACAAGAAAAGCTAACTAAAAACTAAAAACTAAAATACAATTCTCAATTATTTACAAAATATATACATATGTATTTACAGACTAAAGAATAAAGGAAAATTAAGTTATGGAGGTACTAGCACAGGCCTTGCAGCAGTATCAAGGAACTTGTTAGTCTCCCCTGCCTTGTATCTCCATGGTTAGAGACATGAGGAGAAAGGGAAACATGTATTGTCTTCTCTGACTTTGGGCATGTGAATCACATTTGTATTCATACTGGAATACTGATGAGGACCAGCACTCCAAGAATGAGTCTTTATTGTATCTCAGACAAACGCAAAAGTGCAAAAATTAATTGTTTTAAACACAAGGAGATACAAATGTAACAATTCTGAAATAAGAGGGTGTAGGTATGGTAATCTATTCACATGAAGAAAAACTTAGTATTTAAGAAGAAAATAATACTGTGAAAAAGCTCACATCCCACATCAACGTGAAATACTATCTGAATATGAAAAAAGGAATATCGGAAGTTCTATCACATCTCATTTTTAAAACTTCACTACAAAAATTTTACATTCCAATAAGAGCACTTGTTAAGAGAGTAATTAATCATTCATTTCATTACTAACCTGATTCACTGGTTCATTGAAGTTGGTAATGAGTCCAGCACGCAATGTAGATTTCTCCTCTTCCAAAAGAGCACTGTTATTATAAGATGTTTAATTAACATACTGTATTTTTCAAAGCTCCTAACTTTTAACGTATATTTACAGAGAATTATTCGATAGCAAGTGTCAGTTAAAAAAAATCAAAGACCCAGATGGATAAAAAACTTTTTTTTTTTTAAATCAAAGTATTGGATTTCTTAATTTAATATATTTAAATTCTTTTATTCACATTAAATACAAATTTACTTTTCAAAAATAAACCTATTTAATATCAAATTTGAAATCTACAACTTATCGTAAGGCATATATTTATAATCTACTAAAATCTTTTTTCAGTTAAACAAAATAGAATACTAAGCAGTAGACAGTTTGTTGCCAAGTTTAAAAAAAGTCAGATCACTGAACAGCTAGAAGTCACTGATTAAGCACCTGGAACCACATTATGATGAGGTACCAAACCAACTTGTCACAGCAACAGTCTCTGCTGCAGGTGCAGTAAGAATATTTCCTTCCTTTAAGTTTCTTCAACTAGTTCAGCTCAATGACTAGTTCATTCAAAGTTAAGAAACCACTTAGGAAAGTAAGAAAGGCTGTTTCTTCAAAACTAGGTATGAGAGCATGAGATTTACTAGTTCTAAAATATTCCAGGACATGATGACCTAAAAAAATAACACTTCCGTTCATTAAGGATAATATCTCCTTTGATTAAAACACAAAATGTGCTCTAATATTTTGTTCTTAGTACCTACCACATTTAAGGTAATTTTATTTAATTAATAAAAATGAAATGCTGATTTTGTGCAGGCTCAGCTGAATTTAAATTTCCTTCCAAATAGAAATTAACACAAATCACAGGTAAAAAGTTAATAATTTATTTTTTTAAAATGCATCATTTAACATAAACATGTAAAAATTCACAATTTAAATATATATAAATTAAGTTAAGCTATAGAACTCCTTAATTAAATATGTGCACATGAGAATATCCTCTTGGTTATAAATAAATAACATCAAATTTAGTGAAAAGAGATTATTTAGTTGCAAAATAATGGTTAGTAAACAATGAGAAACAACTTTTTTGGTAAGAAAACTAATGGGCTGTGCCCCCTGCTCACTATACTTGCCAGCCCTACCTCTTTCTGGGGGTAGGTATATGACCAGGAGGAGGGGGCAGGAGCAGGCTGGGGGGAGGGCGCAAGAACAGGGGAAGATGCAGGAGCAGACTGGGAGTAGATGTCTAGCCAGGGGGAAAGAGCAGGAGCATGCTGGCAGTGCAGAGTCTTGGCAGAAGGGTTGATGGGGGAGGTCAGGTTTGGATGGCAAAGGAGATGCAGGGCTGCCTGAGGGGGAGAAGGGATGGGCTCAGAGGGGACCCAGCAGAACCCAGAGTGGGGGGTCAGGCTCAGAGGGCAGAGGAGCCACAGGGCTGTCCCGCAGGGGGGGGAGGGGTCAAGCTTGGATGTCAGAGGGGACAGTGTTGCCCAGGGGAGGGTTGGGCTTGGATAGCGGAGGAGACCAGCACAGCTCAGGGGGATGGAGGGACAAGGGTTCAGATGGTGATGGGGATCTGACACGGCCCAGGGAGAGGGGGGATTCGGGCTCAGATGGTGGAGGGAACCCAAACCCAGCAGCTCCTCCCAGCGGCGCTGCCCCCTGTCCCCCAGGGCATAAAGCAAGAGCCAGAGCAGGCCTTGCCCAGAGGGGACAGTGTAGAGGCTAGCCACAGCAGGTGGCTGAGGGGGTGGAAGTGGAGGCAGAGGTAGGCCGTGGCATGAGGACACAGATGATGTGATGACATCACTCTACCGTCCCGCAGGAAATTTTAGATTAGATTAGATATAGCAAGACACAACTTAAAAAGTACAAATGCAAAATATAATTATACTCAATTATTTAAATCAAGATTTCCTGCTTGCAAATTCAAATCAAGATTAAAATCAATTATTTAAATTACTCTGATTTAAATCACTCTATCCTGAAAAGACCATTTCCATTTCAGTTTCATATATCTGATTAGAAGAAGAATATTTTCGTGCATATAGTTTTCTTCCAACTAACAAATTTCAGTCTGGTGAAGTATAAAAAGATTATTATTCAGGTCACTAACAATGGAGAAAAAGGAAAGACAGTAACAGGACACAAAGGTGGCCAAATACATGTACTTATGAGACCTTTTGTCATCAACTTTATATTGACTTCCAGCAGTGTATATAAATCATGTTGCAAGCGGGAGAGCAGGAGGTGGGAAAGGTACATAATACTCACAAACTTAGAACAGATTTATCTTGGTTACAATCCATTATTAACAGACTTAAACCCAACACATATATTCTTCTGAAAGTTATCAATGAGCATAATACAAATATAAAAACCAGGATCAAATTGACACTATGTATGAAATATTATGCACATAACTGTAATGTGATGTATAACAAGGAGGAATAAAAGCGTAAAGGGATTTAACACAAGTAAATAATTCTTTTTTACTTTGTCTGTAAAGTTTTTTTTATAAGTAATTAAGCCCGTAAACACCTATTAGGTTATTAAATACTGTATCACTTTCACATAAAGTAAAATTAAGCTGTAATAAGCTTAACTGGAACATTTAAACAATATGTTCTACAAATGGTTTTCCTTGAAGTGTTCTGAGGGAGCTCCAATTTCTGGCCCAATGTAGATGGAAAAGGCCAAGGATTTTCATCTGCAGATGGAAATGACAGAGACCTGCACTTTTTCTGATGATTGGTTGGCATGCTTTAAGAAGTGACATGGTACCAGAAGAAACAGTCTGCTGATCATGAGGCCACGGAGAAATATTGTGTGCTTAAAAAGCTGATTCAGGAGCATGATATAACCCCAGAGAACATCTACAATGCTGATGAAACAGGGCTCTTTTAGCATTGCCTGCTGTCTTCAACCCTTGATGGTGCAGGTGAGTTTGGTGTGTGTGGATTCAAGAACAACGACTGCATCACTCTACTTACATGTGCAAATGTTACTGGCATACACAAAACCCAGTTGCTAGTGGTTTCAAAATTCAAGAGCCAAGAGCATTCAAGGGTACTCTCCATCTGCCAGTGGAGTACAAGGCATAGCCTTAATGCATGGATAGACAAGGACATATTTTTGGATTGGTTCTACCATATCCTTATTCCATCTGTGAAAGACCACCTGAAAGAACTTGAAGTGCCAGAAGACTCACAGGTTATTCTGGTTTTAGATATCTGTCAAGTTCACCCTTCTGAAGCAGAGCTTCTGTCTGGCAATATTTTCACGGTCTGCCTGCCTGCAAATGTCACTTCACTTATTTAGCCAGTGGAATGGGGAAATATTCAAAACTTAATAGTAACCTACAGAAGGAATTTTATGAGGAAGCTCCTCAATATTAAAGGAACAATCCAAGAGTTTCAGTCATGGCAAAGCATCATGGATGCAGTCTTCAATGCAGCATGTGCCAGGTCGGCTGTCAAGACAACTTTAAAGAGAGCATGAAGAAAATTGTGGGCAGAAGTGATATTTTGAAAAGCCCTGTGATGAAGAATTTCAAGGCTTCAACACAAAACAAAAAGGAGAGCACTACAGAAGATATTTGATGTGCTTCAATACAGTGACCCAATAAACCCAATCTCTAAACTGAAGGATAATGAAGCTGAAGACTGGGTAAATGTCGATCAAAGTTTAGATCAGTGGTCTCCAACCTTTTTATACCTAAGATTACTGTTTAAATGACAGAACAAGCCAAGATCTACTGTCCCTCCCCTTTCTATTCTTCTTTTCTCCATCACTTGTTATCCCCAATCCTTATACTGCTGCTTTTTTTCCCCAATGCTTCTGTAGAAAGAGGTTTTTCCAACATTTGGCCTGTCTAGACTGAACCAAATGTCAGAAAAACCCCTTCTTTTGGAAGCCCCCTTATTCCTCGTGGAAAGAGGAATATAGGGGTGACCAAAAGAGCATGTTTGCTCTTCTACTAAAAAAAAGCGGAAAAACAAACGCATCCCCGGATGCAGAAGTGTTTTTCTGGGATATCTCCAGAATCCTGAAAAACTCCTGCAGTCTAGCCGTACCCTCGCTGGGTTGAGACAGGATGTGTAGTCTCTGGGGTGGGAATGAGGGATTTGGGTGTGGGATGATAAGCTCAGGTTTGGGGTCGGGGGGAAGGGGGAGTGCAGGAGTGGCTGTGGCCAGATGGGAGCTTGGTCCCAATTGGGGGTTTGTTGGTGAGGCTTCATTTTTAAATAAAATACTATGTCAAACACAAAAAGTTTCTGCATTGTCTTTATGAGAAGGGCAGGAAACCTGTCTTGAGTCAGGGGTCACTGACCTACTGAAAAGTCAGTTGGGAGCAGGGGACATGGTACTGGAGAAGGGTGCTAGTGGGTGCTGGGGCAGGGAACAGGTTGACAGTGGGGGCAGGGTTCTGCGGCTGGGAGCAGGGGCGAAGGAACAGGGTGATGGGAGGGCAGGGGACAGGGTTCTGTGGCAGGGGGCAGGGTACCAGTGGGGGCAGAGTCTCCCCTGCACCAGCCTCCTCCCAGGATTTCTCCCCCCCACA